CCAAACTCTTGGGCTTAACTCATTTCACACATTAGGAAATAAATATTTGAGCATCCTCATGAACAAGTTCGGCTTCTTGGACTTCTTCTCATGCAGCACATTTTGAATAGCCTTCAGCCTCATGCTGGCCTCTTTTACATCCGCCTGGATCTGCGTGATGATCGCTTCCTGGCTCATTAGCCTACTGTTTTTCTCCTTCCAGAGCTGACTGACCAAATGTTCTGTGATTTGCTGTAACTCACTCATATTGACATGAAGCATTTCCTTCTTGTTCTCCTCAACAAGCTCCTCTTCAAGATTGACCATTTGGAGCTCAGGACCATCTTTGACCACTTGGAGCTCAGGGCCCTCTTTGACCACTAGGAGCTCAGGGCCCTCTTTGACCACTCGGAGCTCATAGTTCTCTTTGACCACTCGGAGCTCAGGGCCCTCTTTGACCACTTGGAGCTCAGGGCCCTCTTTCACCACTTGGAGCTCAGGGCCCTCTTTCACCACTTGGAGCTCAGGGCCCTCTTTCACCACTTGGAGCTCAGGGCCCTCTTTCAACACTTGGAGCTCAGGGCCCTCTTTGACCACTTGGAGCTCAGCACCATCTTGGACTGTTTTGAGCTCAAGGTCCTCTTTGACCATTTGGAGCTCAGGACCCTTTTTGTCCTCCTCTTCTTTTGGGTCAGGCCCATTCTCTGTGAATGGTCTCTTCTCAGTTGCCTGAACCTGCATGTTCTTAATGTCATCAACAGAATCCGTGCTCTTTTTTGCTTCCTGGATGTCTGTCTGCTTTTGCAACTGTTCTGAGGAGTTTTTTAACTTGCGCCTGAGATCCATGTTGATGACAAATGCCATACTCAATCTCGAGGCACATTTCATCTTGATGTCATTTGCTGCTCTTAGTGACTCACATTGCCTCGTACGCATTTGATTGAGCTGGGTTTTGATTTCACTGTTGATTTTCTTCTGCACACAATCTTTTTCATGATCTTGTTGCAACTTTTTATGGGCTGCATATAGCTCATTCCTCAGAAGGGCTATTTCCTGCCTCTGCCTGGTTATAGTGGGAGGTTCGTCTTTGGTTTTACCTTGGAGCCGATCAAGGACTGCAGTCAAGGTCTCAATATTTTTTTTTGTATTGGCTCTTTGATGTGGTTTAGGACTCAAAAAGAGCTCTGTTTTGGCAGCCTGAAGACGTTGTTTGACTTGCTGCACCCATTCTTCAATGTAGGCTTCAACACGATCGTCCAGAGTCATTATTACGTTTTCTTGTGCTATCTTTCTTCTTCTAAGATGCTGGATACTTATGTACTAACCAGATTTTAAAATGTGCAGACCAGAGGGACAGGTACATAAATATTCTTCAAATTAGTCATCATTCCTCCTTTGTGCATAACTCAAAGGATTCCTCTTTGGCTTTCACTTCAAAGATTCCTCTTTGGTGTTTACTTCAAAGGATTCCTCTTCGGTGATTACTATAAAGAATTCCTCTTTTAAAGGTTTCCATGTGTTGGGACCTGGTATCTGTGAACCATAGTTGGGCCTACATGTGTAGTAAAAAGCCTGACCGCATGTCTCCCTTGCTCTGGAGACAAAGGAGATCTTCTGGAACTCAGTTTCCCAGGGTGCTTCATCTTCACACATAGGTGGTAAAACTGTTCCTGGAGACAACTCTCAACCACTATTGGTCCCTGTGTGCCCCATGACCCATGAGGTCACAAGGCACCCATTCAAAATGTCTCTCCTGCCGGGACATTTTGAATGGGTGCCTTGTGCTCGTCGCCGATGCTCGCGCACAGAGAGACATTTCCTTTAAGACGAAGGACAGAGACCCTGAGAGTTGACCAATTTCAGAAAGAGAGAGACTGTAACAGTTTGAGAGGAAGGAGAGAGACCCTGGGAGAGAGAGTGAGACAGTGAGAGAGAAAGACATGTATAAAAGCTGCATTTT